TAACCTACACAAGATTTTCCATACAGCAAAATCTGTATATACTACAGAAAACAATAACATACAAAGAAAAAATGAACAAAAGGAATAGCATCCATCAGTTACCATATTACCAACATTGAGGAGCCCGGCACTATCCACCACAATGTTGCAACTCGCCACGTCTTATCCCCTGTACAACAGAAAGAAACAGTAATGGAAGACACGAAAAAAAATCAGAAAAATCAAGTGAATGTTTATAACCGAATTGAGAAACCCTAAAACCAAATTGTTAAATTCTTACATTGCATGGCATATAGTTCAAAGGAAAAGTACCTTCACGCCATCAATCTGACTCAACTAAACTAAATATCTCTCATTCGTGGTCCATAGGGATCCTGTGCAAATAATGTTTTTATAAAAAACTCCATTGAGAATCTTGCAGCAGACATATGGGTGGTCTGATAAAAACAACGCCCACAGATATGAACTCGTGTGCCAATGAAATTAAGGACAAACACTTTTGAAAGAAGAAAACGCATAATTAAAAAAATTTACACATTCTATTAAACAAAGCTATAATGTAATCTTCACTGCTCTCCATATAAAGCAACCTACAGGAATAAAGTATTTGTTAGCGTCTTTTACCTTTATACCGACACAATGAGAAGATCGCCGACTTCACTATCACTGGCAACACAGATGCACGATTTTGCTAGAATCATCGAGGGCAAGCGAGATGGCAGATATTAACACTTACCCTTGGAATCTACATAAAATTTTCCATACACCAAAATCTATATATGTTACAGATAAACTATGACATACCAAGAAACAATAGCAAAAGTTGTAGAAACATCAATCACTATCTAATTACCAATGTTGGGAGAACGTCATCACCCACCACAATTTCATACATTGAAATTTCAACTCGTCTACCACCTCTTATCCCCTTTGCATTACTCACCTCTACAAAGTGTAAACAAAAGGAAGTAAGATAATGCATACTATAGAAATGGTAAAAAAAAATGGCGAGTACGAACCTCCTGATATATATTTCTCTCTTCCTCGTTCTGGTTTTGAAATTGCAGACTTTTTGTTGTCACTTTCTGCTGCAAACGTGAAATATAAAGAAGATACTGTTCATAACTGCTACACACAATCACAATACCTGTCCCGATAACAAAAGAATAACTGCAAAAGCTATGCTGCCTCCATCATCCCATCCTTCTTTCATTCTCTATGACACAAAACATTATAAAACAGCACACACGTCGGTGTAATTAGGCACAAGACAAATTGCAATTTTTTTATTGTTATTTTCAGAAGTAGCACGCCTCTGTTTTAATCCGAAGTAAAGATACCTTTGCTGCGACCATCACCACTATGAATGTGAGATCTTAGCCGATATCTTGTCGGACATCTTTTCACTTTCAGAATCCGACAAGGAATGAAAAGTTATTCCTTCAATGATAATAGGTTCAGTGGCTTATGTACCATAGGTTAATATTCCGCACTCCAGCACAATAGCTTTGGTAGGTTGGAGGTTGTCACTAGTTACCATTCGAACCTGAAAGTCCACAATTTAGTGCTGTAAGATTGCCCACCCAGCATACAGCCAAATCAAACAGGTTAATGGAAAATACGAAAATATCATAAAACACACTTGAATGTGTATAACCAAATTCAGATACCCTAAAATTAAATTGTTGAATTCTTACTCTGTGTGCTATGCATATAGTTCAAAGTAAATGAAGTACCTTCATACCAGCACTTTGCCTCCTGGTCTACAAAGAATTTAGATAAGAAACTCTATCGAGAATCTTGCAGCAGACATGTGGGAGGTCTGATAAAAAAACAAATCAACATATCCTTTAGTACTCTCCACATAAAAACACAACCTACAGAAACAAAGTATTTGTTAGCTATTTAGCTTTATACCGACTATATAGCTAGCAAAAACTTTACTTCAGTACGTAGTATTATACCGACTATATCTCGCCAACAAAGAGCAAGATACAAACCAACAAGCCCATTAAAAATCAGCCACACCCACCACACAAACCAAACCCAAAACCCACCAAAACCAAAC